TAAACTGTATACAGAGTCAAGCGCACTCAAGATTTTTCTAGAAAATCATTGTCAATTTCATGAAGCCAAAAAAAGCAAAAGTTTGAGAAGGAAATAAACAAACAGTAGGCTGAAAAAATTTTTGATATTAGTGAAAGGAAAGCAACCAATCAGCCAATCATCAGCAAATTATCCAAATAAATTGACCGGCGATATCAAATTTTATTGTTCACCAATTAAAAAGCGCTACGACATGACAGATATCACCGTCAATGCAAAAAACTGTCAAAAACACTTGAAAAAAGTAATAAGACTAGCTAAAAAAAAACTCAGTAGAATCCCCTAGAAAATTTATTACTGGAGACAATGCAATCTGTTTTCAACCGCTGCTGCTCACTCATCTTTTTTCACTTGCGAAGGAAAAGTTAAGACAGCTTGTTCTACAAATAAAGTCGCAAAAGTAATAAAAATATTATTGTTATAAACAATAAAATGTAAGAAATTCATTTATACATCACCTATTCAAGAAAATATAGAAAAGCTCGTTATTTACTTAGTTTATTGATTTGGCATAATTTTCTATACCCAAATGCTGCGCCCGCATTAATAACAATTTTGAGATAAATAAGGTGGAAGTAAGAATTTTTTCATAAGTGCATACATGTAAACGCTGTCGTTTTCGAGTATAATACTGCCACTGTAATATTTGCTGGTCTTCGATAAACTTTGCATTCGCAGTAACGGCAATTGCTTCGCGAAATTCCGGATTCTGCAGCGCATGCAAAAAATGCAAACACTGGGGATATTTCAAAGCCCTGTAACAAGACCCGTCTGTGGAAAGTTTTGTAAGTTACTGAAGAGCAAATATTACAATAACAATAAACTGCCGCTAACCTAGCGTACTCGGGTCTTCTCCAATACAACAGATACTTTAGATAATTTAAGAAATACCTTTCCTTAAAGAAGCCACGTTGTGCTAGAACTGAAAAACTCTAATAACTTAGTTATTCCTCCATCAACGATGCATCTCCGTCAATTGAAAGTGAAGAACTGTGCAAGTGCAAAAAAGTGTTTAATAAAAGGTTTTGACTGAACAAATTAAATAAGAAAATGACTGAATTAAGTACAGAACAAAGCAACAAAGACTAACAATTTAAATAGTGGGGGTTGGCGAGAGCCTGGACGAATTCACATTCTATTTCAAACCGTTTTTTCTGTTCCTCAGGAGTTTCCGAGTCTGAAAATCAAAAAAAACTGTTATTAAAATAGCAAAAATTTCAATGCCACTTTAAAAATTACCTTATCAAATAAGATGCCTGGACCTTTCTGAGAGGTTCTTAGCTGTGGAAAGGAGAAATTATACATGGCAATTTTAAAAAACCTCAGTAATGAATTTTTAAATTATTGCCAAGTATTGCGCATGTTTTTTTTTTTTTTTTTAAATAAAAAATAGATGTTTATACTCAAAGCGGACACCATTACACTGACGAAAGATTATAATGTTGTCCTGCCTACTCTAAAGTACAATGTTCTCGAAAGTTAAGACCAGAATCCGTTCAAACAAACATTTTAAGAAAAAAAAACAGAAAAAAGACCAAGCTTCTTTTCAACGCTAGATAATGACAACAAATTAAAGTCTGCCAATAAATCCATGCTTATTTAAAGTAAGAAAAAAGACAAACTTCTTGGTAAGTCCAACGACGACTGGTTTGAAGAAATAATGGTTGACAGCGTTTTAGTTAAAGATAAACCCTAATAAAAAAATTATGTGTATATGATTCTCCAGGAAACAGCAAGTTACAGATAAAACAGGTGTTCGAAGTTTCAGCCAAAATTATAACAGAAAGAAAACTAAAAAAAGAAGAAATAGTTCATGAAGTACACTAATGCGAAACAAGCCTACGAAATTTACTTGTCCTTCCACATAGTGCTCAAATAACTACAAAAAAATCTTTGAAAATCTACATTAATTTCCAAACGTATCAAGTTGCTTATTCCCGCTTCCAAAAAAAAGAAGGTTAATGCCACCAAGCCGCTACCCTGCCCAAAGAGATAATCATAGGGCACAAAACCTAAAGCACTCCTAATAAGCGCAGTTTATAGTATCTGTTCCGACTGAGAAGACCATTAGGCTCCTATCTTTTTTGTTGAAAAAGATTTTTCGAAATTAAAGAGCATAACAGGAACCATAATATAGTTGACCAAATTTGTTATCATTATAATCAAATAATAACTGTCATTACGTACTCGTTCACATTTTCAAATAGATTCGCGCGATTCGCTATAGCAGAAAGCATCAGAGTTGGCCTAATTCCAACACGTCAAAAATGCGCCTACCGCAGCTCTTTGTAAGTAGAATTAACTTCCAGGATGCTGGTTTTTGCCAAAAGAATTTTTTTTTTGCATTTTCTGCGTCACTTGCGGTTTCTGCGCGTACTTTATGTTTTTAAATGCAAGTATTTTTGAACTTATAGAGCAGTCAGTGAACCGTCCAGTTTTTAGTATTACCGAGGCCGGTTCTAGGAGCTTTTTGGTGTGACCGGTTTGTCAAATTTAGGATGAGGATTTGCTAGTAAGACATCCCAGGTGATGTGTTATCTTATAGTGTTAGTCTGATTAAGGGGTAATGTACACTTCCGAGGTGAAACTACAGAAACTATAGACTGGAAGTATCTAACTGCAGTTTTTAAAGGATAAATGTGATTTTTGGTTTTTTTTTTTGCCTTCAGGTTTTTTTAAATTTTCACGACCACAGTTCCCTTTAGGTTGCTTGGAAAATGCGCTGTCCGTTGCTAACAGTATTTTTAAGGCAATTTATTATCACAGATGAATTAAGTCAGAACGAGTCAGCCCACTGTGAGAACTCATTAAGCGAGTAATACGCTTGGAGAGGTAATACGAGAAGTGTACGAAATAGCGGGTAAACTTTGTGGCGAGGTGGCCAGGCTGTTCCGGGGTTGGCAGAAACGGATAATTATCTTAGTAACCTTACCTACTGTTTTAATACTCCTTTTACTGGGCATCAAACCCTGTAGGTTTTCCGGCTTTTGCTCCTTATGCTTCCTTTGCAAATCTTTCCGTAAACGAAATAGAAACCCCAAAAGAGCTACGAATGCCGAAATATCTGGAACTTAACGACCGTTCAATTTACTCCCCTCAAAATCTCTCCTTACTTTGGCAGTTCAGTGAGGAGTGTTAAGCAGTCCGTCAATTTCGATGAGCGGAAGAAAAATCTACAAAATTAGTGCGTGACTCGTGATACCAGCGGCATCACATGATGCAAGAATAGCGCCTAATAACAGCTAGACTTTGATACCGGCAACTGTGCATAGACGTTTGGTTTTTCAACTAGTTTATTAACTACACTTCGAAATGATACAATAGATATAAAGCCAGCGACAGCAGTCTCAATAACTACTATATACTTCGCAGTGTAAACAACCAATCAGTAAAAAATGATGTAAAAACAAAGATCCTTATTAATAATAACAGCACACATGCAAGAAATAAAATTTGCCTATGGGCATGTGAAAAGAGTCATGAGAAGCAGAAGCTGAAAGAAGAACACAACCGACTGAAACTGATTCAGAGACACTAACTCCAGATGCAACTCACTGCTTATTTATACACCTGTCTCACATTTATAGTGATTCTGTCTGCTGTTTCTCCGAGAGTTCCCCCTCAGGGAACATGCAGCAAGCAACCACCTTATACTGTAAATTTGCCATTTCGCGTACGGTCGCGACACGTCTTGATAGCTATGGATAGCGCATTTCCATGCTATGTAACGAAACGTTTAATTCTGGAGAATGAACAATTGGGGAATGAAAAACAGCCACAGTTATGTAAATGCTCAAAAAAGCTGCAGGTGAGTAACTTTAGCCTCTACTTTTATTAAAAAACGTGCGTCACCCCCATATAAAAATAACACTGCATTTTCTGCACTAGCATTTATAGCATCTCGGCGCTCACGATCGTACAGAACGAGTATGCGAATAAACTCTTATAAAGTGACTAAGTGTCATGCAAAAAAGCTATGTAATTTAAAAGTTGCCTCATAACTTTA